ACTGTTGCCTAGTCTAGGAAAGCATTGTGTATAAGTTTTGTAATATTTGAATGCTCAATGTAAGCCTAGCACTTTTATTCACTCTCTAGCCTCTCCCCCCCCCATTAGCCCTTTACCATTAATGTTGTCACTCTATATCAACTTCCATCAAGACACCTTTAAATAAATAGTGGGCAGGGATTTATTCTACCTTTAGTTCAACCACATACATGATTTAAGCTTTTACATTAAAAGTACTTTTTAAAGATGTGGTACATATAAACAATGGAATATTACTCAGCAGTCAAAAAGATAAACACATGCCTTTTGCAGCAACATGGATGGAACTGGAAGGGATCATACTTAGTGAAATAAGCCAGAAAGAAAAGGAAAAATACCAGATGGTTTCACTCATAGCAGGAGTATAAAGAGGGGAGTAAATAATAATAATAATGAACAACTCTATATTAGAGACATGTTATGGGGGTGGAATGGGGAATAGGATCAAAAACAGTGGAGGTAGGGGAAGTGTACTGAATTATGGTGATGGCACATGGGTGATTTGGTGATGGGAAGCCCACAGGGATTACAACTGAGATGGAAAAGGGCACAAAATTATGTAGAAATAAACTATTATGTTAAAAAATTTTAAAAAGTACTTTTTAAATAAAAGTATATGTAAATTATACCTACAAAGATATATAAGGATATGAAATATTTGAAACTGAGATATAAATTTGAATTGTTTGAAATATATAAGGATGTGAAATTGTGAAATGCTCATCTGTATGCCTTTAAGTATTTAGTACAATTAAAGTAAGTATTATGAATTTGATTTAAAGTCAGTTTTCCCTGTCTTTGGAATTAAAAAAAAAAATAGGTGTTAGATATCTGACCCAAATAGAAAAAAGTTAAAAGGTAAAAGTAATGCTTTATTCATGGTGGAGACTGGAGCCATTAGTGATTCTTAGCCCTAATGTTAGTCATTCATAAAGAACTGTAAGTTTTACCTTTTAAGCAATCCTTCATTCCAGGGAACTGACCCATATGGCACAGCAGACCTCTCCTGTCTTGCCACTGCTCTCCTCAGGAGTGCATTTCAGTTAGTCTGTATGTTTTGTTCCCTACTCTGTCTCTAATGAATCCTGTCACCCCCTGCACCTCTGTCCTGTACCCCAGTTCTGTATGCATAAATAAATAAAGCTTTAAAAAAGAATTCTTGGGCCTTCCTGGTGGCACAATGGGTTACAGCATAAACTATGAAGCAATGGCAGCCACTGCAATATGAGTTGGATCCCTCACCAGGGAGGTGACCCACATAGTGTGGCAGAGCTTTCCTGACCTGCCCGCTGCTCCCCTCTACAGTGTACTTCATGAATCTGCCTGTTTTGCTCCCCACTCTGTTTCTGGTGAATACTCTCACTGCCCCTGCACCTCTGGCCTGTACCCCAGTAAATCTTTAAAAAAAAAAAAGAATTCTTACTTTAAAATGCCAATCTGATAATGATTTCCTTTTATAAAACCACTCATTGATTCTCTGTCACTCATAGAATGAAATCATTATTCCCCCAAATGTACTCTGGCTTTTGATTCTCCAATTATGGAGTATTTCACACTTCTTTTAGGAAAAATTGATGATTCTTAAACTCTTCTTTATTGTCACACCTTTGGACACACTTTTTTTTTTTTTTTAAAGATTTATTTATTTGTGCATACAGAACTGGGGTACAGGCCAGAGGCTCAGGGGCGGCGAGAGGCTTCACCAGAGACAGAGTGGGGAGCAGAACAGGCAGATCTATGAAGTACACTGCTGAGGGGAGCAGCGCGCGGGCCAGGAGAGGTCTGCCACACCATGTGGTCACCTCCGGGGCAGGCGGGAATCGAACTCATGCGGAAGCGGCTTTAGATTCTCAGTGCTGTGCTTTAACCCGCTGCGCCACCAGGGAGGGCCAGGACACATTTTTTATCTCTCTTCCTATCTTTTTGCTTTACTGACCTTTTTTTTTAAAAAAAAAAAAATCATGCATACAAGAACTGGGGTATAAGTCAAAGGTGTGAGGGGTAAGAGGATTCACCAGAGACAGTGGGGAACAGAACAGGCATATCTAATGAAATGCATTGCTGAAGAGACCAATGGGCAGAACAGGAGATGTCTCTGGTGCCATGTGGGTCAGCTCACTGGCCGGCTGGGATTAAACTCCTGCTTCAGTGGCTAGCCATAGCTTGATAGAGCTGTCTTTAACCCCCCCCCCCACCACCACCACCCCACCCCTGTACCACCAGGAAGGCCCCTATTAGCCCTTTTTTCCCTTTGACATACTTAGGCATCCCTGACTCTTTTCCTCTTATTTTTTGCAAGGTTTCTATTAGCATAAACAAAAATGTGTTTTGTTTCTTTTATAGTGTTTAATAATTGTGTTGTAAAATCTTTGAAAGTGGCAGTTGTGAGACCAGTCATGGTATCACATATAAATAAATTTTTAAAGACTTATTTATGTATGCGTACAGAATTGGGGGACAGGTCAGAGGTGCAGGGGGTAAGAGGATTCACTAGCAACAGAGAGGTCAGGAGAGGTCTGCCATGCCATGTGGGTCAGCTCCCTGGCCAGGGATCAAACTTGTGCTGCAGACAGCTTCACAGTGCTGTGATTTAACCCCTTGTGCCACCAGGGAGGCCTCTGTTATCCCCATTTTATTTATTTTTTTCAGAGATTTATTTATTCATATATATAGCACTGGGGTACAGACCAGAGTGAGGGGAGCAGTAGGCGAGACAGGAGAGGGTCTGCCACACCATGTGGGTCACCTTCCTGGCTGGACAGCCGAAGCAGCAGAGGCTAGTTTCATGTGCTGAGCTTTAACCCGTTGTGCCACCAGGAAGGGCCTTGTTATACCATTTTAAAAAGCCAGAGACTAGAGAATGGACATTTCCTGCACTTTCACCCATAAGTGTAGCTGAATAGGATTCAAAAGGCTTCTTTCCCACATTGTACTGGTAAGAGCCACTATGGTACCCTTTATGAAGATTTGCTTACATTCTAAAAGAGGTTAAGTCTATAGTTAAAGAAGTGGGTATCTAATTATAGGAGTTTGGATATCACTAAGTTGATTGAGGGAGTTTCTGTTTTTTGGAATGGAACATATCTTCACACCCCTAAAATAAAGACACTAAATAGTCTACTTGTAAGCACAGCTGAGTATCTTCATTAAACTTGGATAATAAAAGGAGCTAGGACCCTCCCTGGTGGCGCAGTGGGTTAAAGCACAGCACTGAGAATCTAAAGCTGCTTCTGCATGAGTTCCATTCCCGCCTGCCCTGGAGGTGACCACATGGTGTGGCAGACCTCTCCTGACCCACCCGCTGCTCCCCTCAGCAGTGTACTTCGTCGATCTGCCTGTTCTGCTCCCCACTCTGTCTCTGGTAAAGCCTCTCACCGCCCCTGAGCCTCTGGCCTGTACCCCAGTTCTGTATGCACAAATAAATAAATCTTTAAAAAAAAAAAAAGGAGCTAAAGGTGCATATGTTTTAGACAGTTTTGTTGACAAATGATTAGTGCACAATGAATTGCACATGTTTAAAGTATGCAGTTTGATCACTCTTGACATATATATGTCCAACCCTGAAATCATCACAATCAAGATAATTAACATATCCATTATCCCCCAAAGTTTCCCCACTCCAAACATCTTTTTTTTAAATACTTTTATTTATTTTTTAAAGATTGTATTTATTCATGAAGGCCAGAGGCACAGGGGCAGAGAGAATTCACCAGAGACAGAGTGGGGAGCAGAACAGGCCCACTGCTACACTGTGGAGGGGAGCAGCGGGTGAGACAGGAGAGGTCTGCTACATCATGTGGATCACCTCTGGGGCTGGGTATTGAACTCACACTGAGGCTGCCACCACCAGCTTCACAGTGCTGTGCTCCAGCCTGCTGAGCCACCAGGGAGGGCCACACCTTTATTTTTAATTTAAGATTTTTAAAATTTATTATTATTATTTTTTTGCATACAAAAGCTGAAATGTGTAGACCAGAATTGTGGGGGTGGGAGGGTGAGAGGATTCACCAGAGACAGAGTGGGGAGCAGAACAGGCCCACTGCTAAGGGGAACAGTGCGAGAGACAGGAGAGGTCTGCTGTGCCTTGTGGGCCAACTCACTGGCTGGGGTTGAACTTCTGTTGATAGCTCCATAGTGCTGAGACTTAACCCCTTGAGCCACAAGGGAGGCCACATACACCTCCATTCTTAAGCCGCTGGTTAATATTTTTACAGATTATTTACATTTTCTAGAGTTTTATATAATTAGAATCCTACAAAATGTGTTCTTTTGATCTCACTTTTTTCAGCATAATGATTCGCATAATTATTGCACTTCTTTCATGCATAATTCTTTTGCATATTTTGAATTATTTTTGGTACAAAAATAATTTTCTTTTTCTCCATTATGTCTTACCCTGTAGAAGAGGTTTAAATGGGATTTATTGAAATTTCTGTTAAGCCTAAAGTCCTTTCTGGAACTTGTTTTGGTGTACTCTTCCTAGGTCCTTAAGATTCCAACAGATTTTTAAAAAAATCCTTTTGCAAGGATTTAAATGCATTTTTGTTCCAATAAATGGTCTTTTAACCTACTAATAAGAATCTAATGTAAAACCAGGCAGACAAAATCACTTTTGGAATATAATACAGTATTTCTGAAGATTAACTTCTTGACCCTACTTGGGGAATCTTGAGTGAAACCATTCTGCTTGGTCTTGTGTGAAAAGTAGTTATTTCTGAACTATTTAGCTCAAGATTTCACACAGGTACATATTAAGTAATAAAGTCTTAATTAATGCAATTTAAGTGATTTTGTTATATATTGCTTAGGGACTAGGAAAAAGGTTTCTTTACCTCTCAATCTTGAATAGTTGTACTTTAATCTTGGTATTTAATATTGGGAAGAAATATCTTTTTATTTGCTGTTTTGAAGAAAACAAAATGCTATTACTGCTATCCTAATATACTTGCCCCCATTTTCAGGTGGTTATAGCCCATACATAGAGATTTTTGAACAACCCAGACAGAGGGGAATGCGTTTTAGATACAAATGTGAAGGACGATCAGCCGGCAGCATTCCAGGGGAGCGCAGCACTGACAACAACCGAACTTACCCGTCTATACAGGTAATAGCATCATTCATTTCCCTGTATGTCTCTTATTAGTTACCTATTTCAACTACAGTAGCTCTATTAAAGATCTTTCTTCAGTCATTTCCTTAGCTTTTCCTTTTTGTTCTTTTAAATTGGTAGGTTCTAAATGGGTTCGTTCTAGATAGATGTCTTAAGACATTTCTTAATTATAGATTCTTCATACATGCAGATAGTTATACATTGTGTATTAACTTAAGTAGATTGATTCACAGTGCTTAGTTTACATTGGCAGTTTTTGGATCATGACCCATTTCATAGAACCTGTGAATGAGGAAAAAGCATTCTCTTCTTCCAGCGATGAGCAAAATTACTCTGTAGATTAAAAACATTGATTTGGGAATTCAGTTAGAATTCTTTCTGCAATCATTTGGCTTAATCTAAGTACTATGGAAAATGACATTTTATCTCCCCTGCCCTTACTTATATTGCCTGTCCCCGATATTTTGGAGTTGCATGGACTGATGCGAAATATAGGCATCCTTTAAATACAGTTTTTTTTGTATTATAAATTTTGAAAGTAGTTTTAAATCCAGAAAGACTTTGGTGATATACTATAATTATTTATAAAATGTACTATATATGCTATTTGTAATTATGATATTGTGGCTATATATTTACATTCATATTTATAGTAATATGCCACATATAGTATTTCATACTTTGTTTCATTTGAATCTTAGTAAATTTTTGAATCCTTTGTAAGTGCCAATTATAAACTTTAATGACTGGGTTTTGAAGATATTAATTTTTTATCAACAGATCTTAATTTGATGTTTTATAAATAGATTATTTACCAGTTTTTTCTGTGGAACTTAAAGGAAATGCTAAATTATACATTAAGCCAATGACAAAATTATGTGTTGAATTTCAAGTTCCCAATTTTATTCACATTTTTTTTTTACCACAGTATGGATTTGATTTAACTGAATCCTTTTATTTAACTGTTTAAATGGGAGAGATAAAATAAAAGGTAAAGAAAACACTATTCTGATCCATTAAAAGTGATTTTTAACTCTTTTCCATAACTCAGCTTTACAAAATTTAGTGTTTTGGGATACATTCTCTAAATTTTTTTTAAAGTCTATCCTTATTTCAGGTGGTCCCAGGCTTACAGCTTGCATTCTACATTAGTTGTCTTACAGTTTTAAGAGGTCACTTTCTCATTCATTCAGAAATATGTCCTGCTTAACTGTTCAAATTCAAAATTAGGAATTTTGATAACTTCTACCTTTTTTTACCCATGTCATATGTTGGTTTTTATATTCCCTGCTTTGTGCTTGCAAATTTGCTAGCTTCCAAGCTAAGCATTAGCTCCTCACCATGCTCAGAATATACTCCTTCCTCTCTCATGTTTAACTTTTCCTCTTTATTCACCGTGTCCCAGTTGTACTTTCTGTCTAAATTTAATTTTATGAAACTCAACTTGGTTTATTACCTGTTAAGAAGTGAACACATGAGATATGCTTACTGATTAAGAAAAATGTTTTTGTGGAATAAAATGTCTCTTAGCAAATGAATGATCATGTTGGTGCTATCATCCAGTGTGACTTACATATATACTTTAAGGTACATTTGTGGTATGACAATGATGCTGAGTACTACATTCAGTGATTTAATATCTAAATGTTTCCTCATGCTATAATAAAATTTTGGTATAGTTTTATGTGTTTTGGAAGGAAAATAAACAGAATCAGTTAATATGAGCAGCTGAAATTAGGGAAGAAATTAATATGTCAAGGATTGGAGAGGTAAATTCTTCTGTATTGACATTCTCTGGAAGATTTTATCCATGGTGCAGTTACCGTCATTTGGACTTTATATGATACTAAATACATTAGATAAAGGAAATTCTAACAGTCCTGGTTTTATTTATAGATCATATATTTTATTTCTTTTTTCAGATTAGGAACTATTATGGAAAAGGAAAAGTGAGAATTACTTTAGTAACAAAGAATGACCCATATAAACCACATCCTCATGACTTAGTAGGGAAGGACTGCAGAGATGGCTACTATGAAGCTGAATTTGGACAAGAACGCAGACCTTTGTTGTAAGTACGCAGTCACGGACATCTTAAGGAATAAGGAAGTGTTGACAACTTACTTCTTCATATCTGTCTACATCTGTTTTTTTTTTTTAATTTATTGATTTATGCATACAAGAATTGGGGTACAGGCCAGAGGTGGGGGGTGTTGAGAAGATTCTTCAGAGACAGAGTGGGAGTAAAACAGGCAGATGAACTGAAACACTGCTGAAGGGAGCAGTGGATAGGCAGAAGGGGTCTGCTGCACCATGTGGGTCACCTCCCTGGCCAGGGATTGAACTTGTGCTGTAATGGCTGAGCCAGCTTCATAGTGCTGCACTTTAACCCATTGTGCCACCAGGGAGGGCCCCTACTTCTAGAAATTTATTCTCATGAAATAATTAAGCATGTCTAGACATTTAGTTATAATGCTCATTGCAGATCTGTTTGTAATGGCAAAAAGTTAGAGGTAATAAAAAAAAAAAAGGAGGAATTAAGGTGGTATGTCCAAAAAATAACATTGCAAATATGTCTTTGTTTAGAAAACTAGTTCAGTGTTAAATAGGGTTTAAAATAGTATGTGATAGCCTTATTTTTTTGTTGTTTAAAAACACAGATATATGGCTTTATGTACACTACAGTTTTAATAGTTATCTCTAGAATTTTATTTCTTATTTTAACTTGTTTTGTTTTATAATTATTTTTTTTGTGATGAACATATGCCTTTGGGGCAAATGAAACTGATAACAATAGGAAAAAAATAATAGGTTCCTTACACCTTAGTAATATTTACAAAATATACTTTAAAATATTTCTTTTATAATAACAACATAAAAATACAATATCTGGTAATACACACTTGGTAAGAAATATTTCCTTTTTATGTTATTTAACTTCCCAACAACATTAGGGCATTTGAAATGTGCTTTCTTGAAACAGTCTTATTCTTTGATTTCTGAAGGAACAAACTCTCCTTTTTTATTTCCTGCTTTTCTGGCTGCTCCTTCTTGATCTAACTTATAGGCAGTTAAATTTTAGGGTTACCTCAGCTATGTGCAATAATGTCCTGTTGTGGTTGTCCTGCCTTTCCCCATAATTCAAGATCCTGTTAAGGATCAGATACCATCTTTTGTTAGTGTACTTATTTTGTCTCCTTTAATTTAAAATATTTTTCCGTCTTCTTTAACTCTCTTTTTGAAGAGTCTAGCTATTTGTTTTGAAGATTGTTTTCCAATGTGGATTGATCTGTGTGGTTGGTCATGATTATATTCATGGTACCATTAATATGAATAATAATTTCATATTAACAGGAAACATTTTGGGCAAGAAATTTATAGAGTTGAATGCTATATTCTCAAAATATCCTTTCTGGAGACATGCAATACTGCTTGTGATTTAATTGATTTTCTTTTGTAAAGAAAAAGATTTCCTTCTTCTCTTTAAGAAAACACCATGATATCCCTGTGGATTCTTATATACAAACCACTATAGTCCATTACAAGACTTATTATTTTCAAGCCAACCTACATTTGACCAATACAAAACCCTTCTTTTAACATGACGCTGTTTTTCTTTGAGCACTTGCTTTTCTGACACAATAGCGCTCAAGACTTACTCATACTTTTCTTGCCCCAGTTCTGAAATTATCATTTTTTTCCCGAAGGAGCCCTACTTCCTTTCAGTGGGCAAGATATTAGTTTGATTATCTTTTTGACTTACTCTCTTACAAAGCCTTAAAAAATGATCTCATCTTTCCTCTCAAAATTGGTCTTCTAGTATACCTTAGTGGTTACTAAAAAGGTCAAACACAGGGATGGATCATCCTTGTTACCCCTCACACAGGTGTGTCAACTAATTCTCATAAATTGCTCTAGAAACTACCCACTTTTCTTAGTGACCTCCATCATCATCACACGATTGCCAATGAAGTCTAGATGTAGACTGCATGAGTAGCCCCCAGACTGGTGCTCTTACATCAGCAGTTTTTGTACCTCTCTTTCGGCAAACCAATGTTTTTTAATTTTTAGACATTATTCATTCATTCATTCATTGAGTGATTTTTTTTTCCAAATAGTAATTGGGTTGTTCCCCTCCCTTCCTAAAAAATTTTGATTTATGTAGAATAAGGACAATATTCCTTATATAGTCTACAAGGTACACAAGGCCCACTTGTATTTATAGCCTTTATATTGAGCTCCCCTTGAACTTTGTACTCTTATCACAAGGGTCTTACTTTCTCACAATTCTCTCCTGTAGTAGTCTTTGCCATACTGTGTCCCTTCTTCCTGAAATTCTTTCCTCTTCTCTTAGTTAGTTTCTATTCATAGTACACTATCTTCCTGCATGAATATAAGACAGCATGAGCACAGAAAGGCAAACAAGTGACTAGTCTCCCCTCCTTGAGTTGATCAACACTCTTCCATGAGGCTCCATGACATCATATATCTCTCCTTTACAAAACTTGTCATGGTCTCAGTTTAGCATTATTTTGTGCAATCATTTAATATATCTTTCTGCTTTTCTACTCTAGAGGTCAGAAACATTTTTCTGTAAAGGATCAGCTAATAAGTATTCTAGACTTTGCAGGCCACATGTTCTTTGTTCTGGCTGTTCAACTTTTTGTTGTAGCTTCAAAGCACCCAAAGTTAAACACATCAGTTTGGCTGGCTGTAGTAACACTGTGTTTACAAAACCAGGTAGAGAGCTGGTCTGTAGGGTTATAGTTTGCCAACCCCTGCACTACACTTTAAGCTCCATGAGGAGGCTTATCTAAGTATATTCATTTTTAGAGTTTGGACACATATTAAGAACTTCAAAAATTGTGGGTTAACTATGAGTGAGTGACGACTGATTCAAATAATCTGTGTGATCATTGGTTTCTTCATGTCAGAATTTAGAAATCCCTACTAATAATTTGTGAGTAGTCCTCAGATATAATTCAAATGAGACAAAATCAAGTAGTGTATAAATATATTAATGTGACAAATTCTCTAAAATCTTTTGTCACAGAAAAAGTGAGGCCCAAGCTAAGCATCCTTTGAAGTAGTAGAATTCTTTTGCAGAAAAGGATTATAGTTTCAAGAAAGGATTGTAAATTCAATATTTTATTTTTAATTATTGGAGGCAGAAGATGATTTTAAAAGATTTTAGGTGCTAAGAAAATCATAAATGTGGTGAATGTGAAGAGAATGACCATAGGATGAACATGGAGAGAGGCAAGCAAAGTCTCTTGGTGCAAAGTGCCATATGAAATTTGAACAAATAGTAATGTTATAATCAAGTTTTGCTTCCTTATTCACACCCACTCAACTTTAATGATGTCATGGTTTTTCCATGTGGGAACAAGTATGACTGGTAGTGGCGAGGGAGTTCCCCCCACCATCATCTGTATACACCTATGCAAATTAGTAATATTTGTAGCTATTGAGAAGTTTTCCATAAATGATATTTTGAACCTTTGCTTAATATTATTGTTAGTATTAAACATCTTTCTAATAAAAAACACATTTCAATGATAAATTTTTACTTATTATATTATTCTGTATAATGCTATACTTTGCTGCTACTAGCAGTGAAGTTAGAACTCTGTAAGAGAACTAACAGGTTCTGTAGTGAACTGGAAACCTCCCTTAAATGGGGCCACAAACGCTAGTAACTAATAGCCAGTGTTTCTATTCCAGAATTCTGTTACAGTACTTTAAAACATTCAAGAGAAGCCAGAAGTGCATTTTACATATAATTACTTGATTTTTAATTGCTCATAGTCTGCACGTTTCTTTTTTTACATAAACGTAAGCACTTTTATGGCTCAGCAAAACATACCTATGAAGTTAAGCCTATACTGGCTCTTTTTGCAACTTTTATTTACATTATCAAATATAGAGACTTGATTTTATTATGAATTTGTTTTGGAGAATAATTTTAGTTTCTACATGTCACTTTCTTCTTAATATCCATCTGCTTACTTTGGTAAATTTGACATAGTCATATTTGTAAGGTATAGTTGTAAATACCATTTGTAAAAATGATATACATTTTCCCATTATTTCTTTATATATATATAAAGAAATAACATTATTTCTTTATAGATGTATGTATTTATGAAGAAATAATGTTATTTTAACATCATTCTTCACTTTGTACATTTTTTCATCTCAGTTGTAATTCCTGTGGACTTCCCAGCACCACTTCATCCATGTGCCATCATCATAGTCCCATGTGCTCTTACCACCCCTGTTTTGATCCTGTTCCCCTTACCTCACCCATAGAATGTCTCTGGTTTATAGTTGTTAGTACAGGTTATTCTTTGAATGGGTTGCCTAGAAATACAATCACACTTTTCTACCATCATATCTTTATCATACCAATTGGAAATGTATTTCATGCTTTAATACATTTGTCTAACATTATAACTCTTTAGTGCTGCTTGATTTCTGCAGTATTAATTAGTACAACTCCCTTTGTTTTTGTTTTACTGTAATGCAGTTTGAAAAATGTTTTTTTCTTCTAGTTTTCAAAATTTAGGAATTCGATGTGTAAAGAAAAAAGAAGTAAAAGAAGCTGTTATTTCAAGAATAAGGGCAGGAATCAATCCTTTCAATGGTATGTTTGATATAATTATTTCTATTTGATATTAATTTATTTCGTAACTTCTATTTATATATTAAAATGCATTTTATTTTTTAAAGGTTTATTTTATTTATGCAAACAAGAGCTGGGGTGTAGACTAGAGGTGCGGTAGGTTGAGAGGATTCACCAGAGACAGTGGGGAGCACAACAGGTGGATCTACTGAAATACACTGCTGAGGGGAGCACATGTGAGACAGGAGAGGTCTGTTGCACCATGTGGGTCAGCTCCCTGGCCAGGGATTGAACTCATTCTCTAGTGGCGGCAAATTGCTTCATAGTGCTGAGATTTAACCCCTGTGCCACCAGGAGGCCTCCTTTTAAGCCTGTATTTTAAAAACTGTTTTAAGTTCTCTGTTCATTTTTCTGCTTGTTGACATATAGATGAGGAATGAAGACTATTCAGAATCTTTCCCAGTGCTGAAAAAATATATATTCTTCTGCAGACAAGGTTCTCTAATATCAGTGGAGATTATCATTGTTTTCTATAGGAAAAACTTCTAAAAATGTTCTAATTCTTTTAAATTTGTGGCCTTTATTTTGCCACTTCAGTAGAAAATACACCCTCCCCTTGCTGAATGTCATAGGCATTATGATTATAAGATACTGATGTAACTCAAGGGCATATTCAATAGTGAAACTTAACCCCAATGTAGAAAAGAAGTATAGAAATGTATAGGAGTTACAAAAATATATTTTCATAAGTGTTAGTGCATTTTTGTTGGGGATGGCACTGTCTGGTGTAGCATCTAGTAATTATCAGTACTGTATATTGTTTAAGAAATCAATAACTGCAAGCTACAGTGCTGACATCCTACATTACAGAAGTGGACATTATAAAGTCTCGGCACCACTTAAATATGTGTAATTCAGAAATTGCATGACTAAAATTTTCAAAAGCTAGGTTTCTTCAGGTCATATTTTCAATATTTCTTATATTGTTGTGTTTTTCCTGGATCTATGAGAATTATTTAGGATAATGATTTAATGAGATGTTCTTAGACAAGCGCTATATTTTTATGAACTGCAAGTCTGCATTTTTTCCCTAAATCTTTATTTTGCATACTATTTATATAACAATACAATGTTAAAAAACAAAATTTCCCTTCTTCCCTTTCAAGCATACTTACCAGAACCGACGACTATGAAATCTGATGTATATTTTTCTAGAATTGTCTTTATATAGAGTCATGTATCCAAACATATATACATGCATGTATGTATACATACATACCACATATATACATTTATTTATTTAATTAGTTACTAAGATTTATTTATTTATGCATACAAGAGTTGGGTACCAGTCAGAGGTATGGGAAGTGAGAGGATTCACCAGAAACAGAGTGGGGAGCAGAACAGGCAGATTGACTGAAATGCACTGCTGAGGGGCGCAGCAGGAGGGACAGGAGAGGTCTACCACGCCATGTGGGTCACCTCCCTGGCCAAGATTAAACTCATGCTGAAGTGAGTAGAGATAGCTTCATAGTGCTGTGCTTTACCCCGTTGAGCCACCAGGGAGGGCCCTACACAATTTTTTTTTTAAATAAAAGGGCTTATGCTATATTTCTTATTCTACTGTTTCTTTATTCTGTTCAGGAATATATCTTAAACATCTTTTCATGTTAATAGTTAAATCTACTGTTTGGGTAGAGCAGGTTATTTTCATTTTATTAAAAAAAACTTCATTGGATATGTAATTTGAACTCTTATGTGATTATTTCCTTAGATAACTTTTCAGACATGGAAATTTTCTGGATCAGGAGTGTGTTCATTTAAAATTTCTGATTCACTGCTAAAGTAAAAGGTCACTTCTAAATTAAAGAGGCCATCTCAGTTGAGATGTAGTATAAAACAGGATTAATGTAGTTCTCCACAAGGAGATTATAAATAACTGCCACTTATTAAGTACTTTCCCATTAGAACAGTGGTTTGGAAATAATGCCTTATAATATTATTGTGATTTTAAAAGAAATCATCATAACACTTAGATATTTTTATGAGCTAAACCACTGAGCAGATATGTAATGGTTCTGTAATTGTTGAAAAACTCACTGACCCTGAATTCAAGTCTTTTACATGTAGTACCAAACCTACTTTTCTTCCACTGCTCCTCTTTATGAACCCTCACTATTTTCAGAAAAACTGTTTTGTTCATCTACCCTGACCATCTCTGAGTTGATTTTCTCCATTTTTCTTGCAACCAGTTGTTTGAGAACTCTTCCTATCATCTTTCAGTGACTCCAGATAAGCTTTAGCAGTGGTTGTCAATGTGAGTGTGCATAGGATTCTCTTACTTAGTACTTGTTAAAAATGTAGATTCCAGGCCACGTTGCCATTAATTTGATAGGTCTGGTATGGGGCCTCTGGACTCTACATTTTAACAGTCATCTAGATTGGTTTCCCTGACTTCTTTGATTGACTGTGATAATAGGAAATAGATTTTATTTCTCTGCTTAATGTGTACACATATATAAATTAAAAAAAATAGTCCCACAACATGCAAAATATTCCATTCCATTCCTTTTTCTTTCTTTTTAAGAAGAAATTGCTATCCAACCCATTAAGTTAATTTTATGGCCGATCTCTGCCTTCAGTAACTCAGATACAAATGATCCTTGGAGACTTCACTTTGAGAAACTAACATATTTGTCGAGTTCAACTTCCATGGCATGGCATTAAGAGCCTTTCATAATCTCATCCTCATTCTCTATTCCAGCATCACTTCTAGCTCATTTCCTGCTTCATATTTCCACCTACCCTTCTGCACAAATGCACACTTCGTTTTTGCCTTTATGAGTTATTTGCTATTTTAGCAGAGCCATATTCTTTCTTGCCACTGGGCCATTATATATGCAGAACCTTTGCATTCAGTGCCCCTATTTCCCTGGTAAATTTTCCTGTCTAGCCTTCATACTTAAGGTTAAGGGTCATTTCTTTCAAGCTTTCCCTAGCCTTCCCACAGAATGGCATATCCTGTCTTCCCAAAATTCTGTACATATTTCTAATATGGTTTGCTCTATTAAATGTTCCTCCCTCACTAAATCATAAGACTCTGTGTATTTCTGGCATATAGTAGAGGCTTAATAAACATTTGTTAAAAGAATAAGTGAACAGATGAATGAGTGAACAAAAATGTTTTCCTTGTATTTGTATACTAAAAATATTCCAAGGCCCTCCCTGGTGGCACAGGGGGTTAAAGCACAGTAATAAGAAAATAGCGGCAGGGACTGTAGCAAAAGTTCTGCCCCTGGCCAGGGAGGTGACCCACCACTGCTCCCCTCAGCAGTGTATTTCACTTGATCTGCCTGTTCTGTCCCCCACTCTTTCTCTGGTGAATCCTCTCACTTCCGCACTGGCCTGTACCCCAGTTCTTATATGCATAAGTAAATATTTTTTTTAAATAAAAATATTCAAGTAGCTTTCCTTACTTAAAATGCCTTGAAATCATTTTCAGTTCTGTCAAGCATTGAGGTAATACCTTCATAATTGTATCAGCCACTCAGCAGTTGATCATGAAAAGCTTTGTGGCATATGTTGGATCATTCATTTGCTCAGCACTTGTCGTCTGAAATAAATTTCATGATCATTGTGGACAAGGCTTTGGCACCTAACTAGTGTGATATTAAATATCTCTCTTCACAACTAAGTGCCTTGATTTAATACATTTTTTACCTTTATAAGTAGGATGCCCAACTTAATTATATATGTATTTATTCAACAGTTTTTTGCCTTCTTTAATCCATTTAGTCCTAGGTTGTTCCTAGGTGTTTGAATGAAACAAAGTCCTATCTTTTAAGACTATGTTCTAATGTTGAGAAATCAATAATTAGGGCCTCCCTGTTGGCGCAACGGGTTAAAGCACAGCACTGCAAGCTACTTCAGTTGCTTCAGTATGAGTTCAATCCCCAGCCCTGGAGGTGATCCACAGGTGCGGCAGGACTCTCCTGACCCCC